ATATCCAGGGTGATCCAGTGTATGTGAACAGTGAGATGTTTGGGCGCTGAAGTCGCCATAGCCAATTGAGAGTGAACTCGTATCTGAAAGCCATATCTCTGAGCTTTGAGTGGGCGCATGTCGCCAGTATACTGCGTTGCAGTTTACATGCATGAAAAGTGTGTTTGAGAATGAGTCTGATTGCACCTTTTGCATTAACTAATTTGTTCTTTCTCGAAATTTTGAATTAAAAAATACTTTTGAACTCATTACTTCTTTTCAAAATTTCTTTGAAATATATTGAAATTAAGTAATTTTTTTTCTTCGAAATTTCTTTGTCTTTTTCTTTTTCGATGTTTATTGAATACTTTAGCATTAATTCATCTCTTTTCGGAATACCCTTAATTTCTATTCCAAATTCCTTGGAATCCTTTTGCAACTCATAATTACCCCTTTTCCGAAATTTTGAATTCACATTTTGAACTTTGAAATTAATTACTTATTTTTACGAAATTATCTCAAAATTTCTTTTCTTTGCCGACATTTCTTTAAATTCACGTTCGGAATTAATCCCTTCCTTCGGAATTAATTATTATTTTTCCAAAATTTCAACGAAAAATTTTAAAATTCCACCTCCTAATTCTTTTTCTATAATTCGAAGATATTATGAAATTTCACGTAAATAAAATTTGAAATAAATTCAAAATTTATTATTATTATTATTATTATTTTTACCAATATTTTGAACAATGAATTTTGTAAATCTCTCCTTTGGATCCTTCAAAATTTTGTTCTACCCAGGGTTGCCAGGCCGAACGTACGGAGGCCCCTAACTGACCCTCGAACGTTCACGCGTTCGGGTCCCCATACGGGGCCCGAACTCGAAGGGGTTCGGACCCCGCCAAAAATTATTTTGGTACCTAAAAATTATTTTTGTTTTTTGAATTTTTTTTTGTGAGTTCTTGGTTATTTAAGCTACCTGCCTGTAAATTTTCAAGGCATTCTGTGAAGCCAAACAATAATGAAAAATCGGCAAAGATGGTGGTGTCAAAACCTGCTTGCCCACTTACCAATTTGTTTTTTTTCTCTTTTCACTTTTTGTTTTCCTTTTATTTCGGGGCATGAAAAAAATTATTATTTTTTCAAACTTTATTTATAGGTTCTATATTATGTGAGATACATATGCATAAAATTTCATGGCATTTGACGAAGCCAAAAAAAAAATAAAAATCGCCAAAGATGGCGATGTCAAAAACATCCGTGCCCACGCAATAATTTCATTCTGGTTTTATTTTTTCTTATTTTCAGTAATATTATTTATTTTTCGTATTTGATTTTTATTTCAAATTTGGTAACGAATTTGGATGTACTGTTGAGGCAAAAGTTGTTTAGTTTATTCTTCTACATCACATAAAGTTTTTTTCAGATTTTTTGGAAACTTTTTTTTTTTTTTTTTTTTTTGGGGTCCTCGTTCGACCGAACGTCCGAACGCGTCGAGAGGGGATCCCGAACGTTCGGGCGTTCGGGTTCGGGTGTTCGGCCCGTCCCGAACGCCGGCAACCCTGGTTCTACCCAAATTAATTTCGAATAATAAAATTCCAATCGAAATAAATTTATTTATTCAATATTAATTTCCTACTTTCCAAAAAAAAAAAAAAAATCTTGGCGATTATCTTTATTTTTGAATTTATTGATAAATAAATAAGGGATTGCCCCCCCCACCTCCACATGCCACCACGCCAAACCAAGAACTCCCAACGTGCCGCCGCTGCTGCCGCCACCACCGCTGCTGCTGCATCCTCCACACCCGTTCAGGCCACGTCCTCCATCCCCTCTAGCCCCGACATGGCCGCATCCTCCATCAACATGTCTGACATCCGCACCGACTCAGTCGATAGCATCGCCCGTAACCTCACAGACGAACAACCACCAGCAAACACCGCCATCCCCGACCACTCCGCCATCCTCCACGCACTCAACACCCTCCGAACCTCCGTCACCGCCTCTCTCGACGACATAAAGGCCAACATGTCGTCCATATGCGACCGCGTCACTACGATCGAAGGGACCATCCCCTCCATCACGGTCGTCACCACCGCGCAAACCACTCCCTCCTCCACAGCACAAACCACTCCATCCTCCACAGCGCAAACCACTCCCTCCTCCACAGCCGCCTCCAGCAACACCCCCCCGCTGACCTCCTCCACTCCTACCACCTCTACCACCACATCCACCAACCCTTCAACCTCCACCACTGTCCCGTTCCCTCCACCTCCTCCCTCATCCGGCGCATCCAGCACACCGCCTCATTCCTCGCCCATCCACGTCACCCCTCTTCCCCCCCCGCACTCCCAAACCCTCTCCCAACCCATCATGACCACCTCCACCATCCCCACCATCCGTCCCACCTATTCCCAAGTCACCTCCGGGGTTTACCCCGCAATGCCACAACTCCCCCCCAACTACGTCCTTGAGGACAACAACCAAATCGACTACACCTGCTACGACACCACCCCCGATAACCTCAACTTCAACACCCTCGCGCAGATCGTTCACCGCGACAGGAAATCCCTCGTTCCTTCCGATCTGGCGAAATTATGTTCTTCTCCGGCCTTCCCCACGAGGACATTTTCCTCTTCCTAACCCAACTTCAGAACTCTTTTCACCTCCACCACATGCCCCTTGCCCACTGGCTCCCCATTGCCACCTCCCGCCTCCTCGACAATGAAGCCAAATGGTGGATGGCTGAAGTTAGCAACCGCCGAGCCTCCGGAGGACCACGTCACACCTTCCTCCAATGGGCCAACCTTCTCACTGCCACCTTCCGCCCCCAGAAAACCATTGACGACTACCTTGAACAATTCTGCCACCTCCGCCAAACGAGTCCCACGGACCGCTTCGTCCAATAGGTTCGCTCCCTCCGCCACCACCTCCCCCACACTGTCATTCCCGACTTTGCGTTCATCTCCCACATCAAACGAGTATGCCACAAGGACCTTGCAACCGCCCTCGCCCACGAACCCGACATGCCCCTTGCCGACCTCCTCTCTCGCATGCTYCACCACGATCGACTCCTCCACCCCCAGCACCAGCCCCCACCCGGCACCTCCCGCACCCGCTTTTTCCACCACATCACCCCCGAAGACACCATCTCCATCACTTCCTCGGACGGGTTCACCACACTTGACCCCGACGCATCTTCCGACTCATTCGACTCTTCATCCCTCACTTCCGAGGAACTCGATGTCGTCCAATTCATGAGAATGGAGCATAGAGATCGCAGCTCCCGACCACCCTCATCCACCCCACCCTCCCGCCTCAAGAAAATCACCCCCGAGGAGTGCACCTACCTCCAAGCAAAAGGGGGTTGCTTCCGTTGTCGCCAATTGGGGCACCAACAAACCAACTGCCCCAACGCCGCACGATTCACCCGCCAGTCCGCCTCCACTCGACCCGCAACCTTCGCATCACCACCCTCGGCAAGCGCGGCCCCCTCCTCATCATCAACACAGTCCCCAGGACACTGACCCGGCATCGACATCGCGTCTGTCGGCCCACCCATCGGTGACGTCCTCCGTCCCACCGATGACCCATATGGCATCGACAATCTGTCGGCCTCCCCCCTCTCCGGCGACGCCCCCTCCACCGGACGACTCCCAGGCGTCGCAAACGCCTCCCACTGCCTTATGTTCCTCTACCCTTCTTCCAAACCCATCCACTATGACCTTCTCCGACGTTGTTGAGGAACAAGCCCGACACGATCGGCTTGTCCGCTTAGGCAACGAACAACGCCGCCTCAACACCATCATCTCCACCGCCAACTCATCTCGTTTCCACCTCAATTCATCACTGCCACCCTTGGTGCGTCTACAACTAAGTTTCGGGCCCTCCTCGACATTGGAGCCACCGGTAACTTCATCACCGACGCGTGTGTAAGCCGGTCTTACCTCTACCGGTTATGACTCCCCGATCACGATTCGCCTAGGGGACAAAGACACCGCCGTCGTAGTAGACCGCACGGTTCCCGATACCACCATGACCGTCGAAACCCTCCGCAGTCAGGTCTCGTTTGATGTCATGCACTTGATGTGCGACATCGTCTTAGGAACCCCGTGGCTGGACCGCTACATGCCATACGCATTCCACCCCAACTTCCTTCGCCTCACCAACCCCCCTGACACAACCATCGATGTCCCCTATCTCCCATATCCCACCTTCCAAGACTTTGTCACCCCGCACCAATTCCTCCACATGGCTCGCCTAAACCCCGACTCCGCCTACTACTGTCTTGTCCTTGATTGCGAAAGTCCCAAGGACTTACTCCCGACCGACAAACCCGATCAAGCCTCCCTCCAACCACGCCATCACCTCAATCCTCGACGAGTTCAGGGACATCTTTCCCGAGTCCTTACCCGCTGGACTACCTCCGGATCGTGACGTATCGCATACCATCGATTTGGAACCCGAACATTCTCCACCTTGCCGCCCTCCATACCAACTCTCTGTCCCCGAAGCCGAAGAAATGAAACGGCAACTCGGTGAACTCCTTGAAAAAGGGTTCATTACGCCAAGTTCATCTCCCTTCGGAACCAACTGCCTTTTCGTCAAGAAAGGTGGAACTTCGGAACTCCGCATGTGCACAGACTACCGCGCCTTGAACTGGATCACGATCAAGAACAAGTACCCCCTACGTCGGATTTCCGAGCTCCTTGATCGTCTCCGTGGAGCCAAGTACTTTACCAAGATCGACCTTCGCAGTGGCTTCCACCAGATCCGTATCCGCAAGGAGGACACCCACAAGACCGCCTTCCGCTCTCAGTTCGGGCACTACGAGTTCCTCGTCATGCCATTCGGACTCACCAATGCCCCCGCTACCTTCCAATCTACCATGAACCACATCTTCCGCAACCTCCTCGAAGTCTGTGTCGTCGTCTACCTTGATGACATCCTTGTCTTCAGCCCCACCTTCGAGTCCCACCTTCAGCACCTCCGCCAAGTCCTCTCGATCCTCTGAGAGCAAAAATTCCCGCCAAGCTCAGCAAATGTACGTTTGCCGCTTCGAGCGTCGAATACCTCGGCCATATTGTCTTCGCTGAAGGCATCCGCATGGACCCCTCAAAGGTCACAACCCTCGTCGAGTACCCCCCACCCAAAACCCTCCTCCAACTTCGTTCCTTCCTCGGCCTTGCCAACTATGACCGTCCGTTCATTCGCAACTTTTCAGAGATCTCTTACCCTCTCCACGAACTCACCTGCAAGGACGAGCCCTTCCATTGGAACGATCGCCGCCAATACGCTTTCGACTTACTCAAGCAAACCATCACCACGGCCCCTGTCCTCAAGATCACCGACCCCACTCGCCATTTCTATGTCACCACTGACGCCTCCGACTTTGCCATCGGAGCTGTACTGTCCCAACATTTCCCCAACGACACCGCCGAGACCCCCTCCATCAAGGACTCACCCACTCACCCCGAGGCTCCACCTGGCGAATACCCCATCGCCTTCGCAAGCAAGAAGCTCCTTCCCGCGGAGATGAATTACCCCTCCAACGAGAAGGAACTCCTCGYCGTGATTCACGCCCTCACAGTCTGGCGCCCGTACCTCGACGGACAATACTTCACCATCCGCACTGACAACACCATCGTCTCCTCCATCCTCTCCAATAAAGATATCACTCCACTCCAAGCCCGCTGGCCAGACTTCCTTGCCCAGTTCACATTCACCATTTGTCATACCCCCAGCAAAAGCAACCGCGTTGCGGATGCCCTCTCTCGACGACCCGACCACAAGCCCCCCGAGAAAGTCTACGCCGCCATGACTCATATTCAACTCCTTCCACCACTTCATCATCGATACACCCAAGGCTATCTCTCCTGCTCAGACTTCGCCACCATTTACAACAAGCTCCGCGATCTTGACCCAGTTCCCGACTACTCCCTCCACAACAATCTCCTCTACATCGATACCAAACGCACTTGCCGACTTTGCATCCCCGACGCCAAGACAGCAGGACATCTCGATTTCCAGAAAACCTTCGACACCATCTCCCGCTACTTCTACTGGCCTTCCTTACTCGCCGATGTCAAGGCATACATTCGCTCATGCCCCACGTGTCAAGCTGTCAACCCCTCAAACCGGGCCAAACCTGGCAAGCTCCAATCATTGCTCATCCCAACTCACCGGTGACAGTCCATCTCCATGGACTTTGTGTGCGGCCTCCCCAAGACTGACCGCGGGCATGACTGTCATTGTCGGCCGCTTGACCAAACGTGTCCACTTCGTCCCTTGCGCGACCTCGCACAATGCCAAAGACGTCGCCACACTCTTCTTCGCCCATGTTGCTCGCCATCACGACCTCCCCGAGAACATCATTAGTGACCGTGATCCTCGCTTCCTCTCACAATTCTGGAAACACCTCTTCACGTCCTACAGAACCACGCTCAAGTATAGCACTGCATTCCACCCACAGACTGATGAACAAACAGAGAAGATGAACAATACACTCCAAAGAATCCTGCGGAAGTATTGTCATCCACACCAACACGATTGGGATCTGTTGCTCACAGCCGTCGACATTGCCTACAACAACGCCGTCTGCCCTTCCACCTGCATGTCCCCATTCTACCTCGACCTGGGGCCTGGGCTACCACCCTCGCTTGCCCTCTGACTTCTTGCTCCCTTCGCAGCTTAACCCATCCACCCCCTGCCCCTCTCTCAATGAATGGGTAGCAACAATGAAAAGACTCCTGAGAGAAGCCTCCGAAGTCATTGAGCGAACCCAAGAACAACAAGCCAACAAGACTAACAAACATAGACGTGACGTGTCATTCAAAGTAGGGGACAAAGTCGGGCTCTCCGCCAAACGCTTCGAACCCGAACACGGTTTGTCCAAGAAACTCTCCAACAAATGGCTCGGTCCCTTCCCCATCATTGAACAAACCTCCCCTGTCAACTACAAACTCGAACTTCCCCCTGACATGAGTCGTGTCCACCCAGTCTTCCATGTCGAGTACCTAAAAGAATACCATGAATCCCCGCTCCAATTCGCCGACCGCCCATATCCTAGACCTCCACCAATCATGCTACCCACAGGACCTGAATTCGTTGTCGAAACCATCATCGGCCGACAAACCACTCAGGTATCTCATCATCCGGAACCAATCACTGAATACAAAGTCAAATGGACCGGATACCCCGACGAAGAATCTACATGGGAACCTCTCTCTAATCTTAAGAACGCCATGAAACTTGTCCGCGCCTATGATCGTGCTAATCCTACGTCCTAGATACCTATATCACTATGGCATAAGCCCCCGCTAAACCCTTGCAACCCTGCTCTACACACACCCTTGAACCCAGTCCACCCTTCCCTTGACCCTCATTCCTGATGTCTGATATGCCCTTGCCCTCGCCTAGCCTTGTCCCATCTGTCCTCTCCACTACCTTGTCTCTCTTGTCCAATGCTTGTGAACTTGCGTGACGCCGGCGATAAAGGATCTAATGGCAAGCGCACGAGGACGATGGCCTGCTGCCTCACTGTTCATGGAGATTATGCAGCTGGTTTGGCCACCATGCTGTTTCATCGGCCGGCATCCCGACTCGCGGACTTACTGGAGCAGCAACTTGTGACATGGATCTTTGCATCAGTCTGCGACTTCCTTTCTTCCAGATTAGACCTCATTGCAGTTCGTGTACCGGATGCCCCCTAGCACTTGGACTTTGACACTTGAACTACTACTACACTTCTTGGACTTCTACCTATCTCAGCTGCTGAAGACCGCTTCTACCACCTACTCCAAAGACCTGATCAAGACCACTGCAGACCCCCTTTCAAGACACTTGGACACTTTGTTCCTACATGAGATTCTGCTTCCGACTCCTTCGGACACACCAGCCTTTGCATCCTGAACAAACATTTTCATTTTTATTTTTCCGACTTTGACAACCCTGTAGAACATCATTAGCAGATCCCTGTTTCCCTAACCATTGTTTCCCGTACCCACTAGAACATTGATAGACATCCCCTGTTCCCCTGACCATTGTTTCCCTTACCCAGTAGAACTTCAATAGAAGTCCCCTGTTCCCTGAACTTTGTTCCCCCTTAACCTATAGCAAACCATGCAGTCCCCTTAGTCCATCAGTAGGACTACCCTGTTCCCTGTCGTCCCTATAGTTCATTTGTAGGACTACCCTATTCCCTGCAACCCCCATAGTTCATCAGTAGGACAACTCTGTTCACCGGTACCAAACCCTGTTCCCTCTTACTCACGCAGCCCATGCCACCCACATTATACCCCTCTTCCCTTTCGACTTGTTAACCAGTGATCGGCCCCGTCCCGTCCTTCACATATTTCAGCATTGCTTCATGATTTCTGGCAGCCGGGACGTTGCCTTCTAGAGAGAGGGGATAGTGTTACGGACTCCGCCAGGGCTCAATCCTTGGTCTATCTTTTTGCTGTTTCGGCTGCATCTCGTTCTCGGCCTGGCACCCTTTTTCCAAACCCCTCCTTTGGTACCGTAGGATTTTGGACAACTGGCGCCATGCTGCAATTCGGGCGCCACTTTCAAATACCGCATTTTTCAGTTCTGCCCACAGAAATGCCCCTGGTACCGTACGTGTCACCGGTACTTATACCGGCTCCCCATACGGTATGGGGACCAGTCTCGTACCAGTTTTCTGCTGCCATGCTCGTACTCAGTGTGACTTGCTGTTTCGGCATTCGGGATCCAAGACTTCGACTTTGTGCCTTGCCACTGTGTCTGCGTCCTACCCTCAGTCCGAGTCAGTCGTGTCGAGTGAGTGAGAGTGTGTGTGTGCGCTCTCACTCTCTCCCTCTCTCTCTCCTCTCCCTCGGCTCACCCTCAGCCTCACACCCATCACAGGTAATGTAATGACCTGCCAAACACGGACTGAGACACACAACTGATTTCTGAGTTTTGCTCATGGAATGTATGCCTTATTGAGTTTCCCGCTTGTTGCTGAGTTTTCTAAGTCTGTGTGGGTGGGTGCTTGCTGGTTTCCATGCCTGTCTGAGTGCTTGTCGGCTTGAGTGTGTGTGTGACCCACAAGGGCACTCGTTTGTTCGGAAGGCCCGAAGGGTCTGTACTTACCTGTGGCTGTGACATTGAGGGTTGCAGCGGGGAACACTCAAGTGGCGGGGAAAGAGGCCCACAACACTTAGAACAACGGAAAACACTCAAGTAGCAAGTAGGCCGGTACCACACCAAGTAAAGGTAGATGTGCCGGGTACTCAGCCGAGCAGAAGAAGACAAAAGTTGGCATTTTTAGAGGCCCAGTAGTTGTAGGCTAGGTCTAGGCGGGTACCAGTCCAAGCAGTCTGAGTTCAGGGCCTGTACTAGCAATATCAGAGTCTGCAATGATGTTTCCCTCCGAAAGGGAGGTGGTACCGGTTGCTTGGAGGCCGCGCGGCCTAGGAAGTCACTCGCCAAGAGGCAAGCAGGTCGCTATATCTCCAGGAGGAGCAAGGTGCTCCTTCTCATTATCGATGTGCAAGTTTGGCGACACACTGATTGGAGCGCTGGCTGGAGTAGCGCTAGCTTGGAGCAGTGCTGCAGAGGCGGAGCAAGGGCAGGAGGAGGAAGAAGACTAGGACTAGGAGGGATTAGCGCCAGTGGTACTTACCTGGCTATTGTGGATACCATCTTCATCACCTTGGTGGGTGCTACATCTGGAAGGCCCCCGTTGGGGTAGAGTTGCACCAAGAAGCTTCGAGGCGGAGTCAGGCATGGCGGCCTGAGCTAGAGCAGCTATAGCTGCCTTGTGTTGCCTGCGGACCTCATGTGATGCCTGCAATAAAAGAGGGATTCAGACATTGATTCTGGTTCAGCCATTCAACATTATGATTATTATTTCTTGTTTGAATAAGAGGGAAGGAGATAAGGAGGAGGAGAGTGGTTGGCAAAGAAGAAGGGAATTATTATTATTATTTCTTCTTCTTCCTTCTTTCATCTTCTTCTTCTTCTTTCCCTCTCTCTCCTCTCAAGTTCATTCATTTCTTTTTGCAATTGGACGATATTGTACTTTCTGATGAATGTGTACTTCGAAATTGGCCAGGATCATAACACTTGTAATGACCCGTCATAAAACAGACTGAGAACACTGCTAATTTCTGAAGTTCTGCTGATGGAATGAATGACTTGCTGAGATTCCCGCATTCTGCTGTGTTTTCTAAGTCTGTGTGCGTGCGTGCCTGTGGTCTTGCGTGTCTGTCTGAGTGCTTGTTTGCATGAGTGTGCGTGTGACCCAGAAGGGTACTTGCTCGTTTGGCAGGCCCGTAGGGCCGGTACTTACCTGTGGCTGTGGCATTATGGGTTGCAGCAAGGGAAACACTCAAGTGGCGAAGCTAGCGGCCCGGCCCCGCGGCCCATGGGGTAGCGGAAAAACACTCAAGTGGGCAGGTAGGCCGATACCGCACCCCACTGCAGTTGGCATGAAGGGGTACTGGAGGCCGAGCAGAAGAAGACAAAGTTGGCATTCAGTAGCGGTAGGGTAGGTCTAGGCCGGTACCAGTCCAACCAGTCTGAGTCTAGAGCCTGTACGGGTAATATCAGGGTCTGCAATGATGTTTCCCTCCGAAACGGAGGAAGTACCGGTTGCTTGGGGAGGCCGAGCGGCCTGGAAGTCACCGCCCAGGAGGCAAGTAGGCCGCTATATCAAGAGGCTGGGGGGAGCCCAGCCTCATTCTTCAGTGTGCAAGTTTGGCGACACGCTGCTGGAGCACTGGCTGGAGTGGCGCTGGGTACTACAGCACTGCTGGGAGGAAGAAGTCGGGAGCTTCCACCTTGGCTATGGTGGAGCTCTACCGGTAGGAGGAGGAGGGAGAAGAGGACCAAGGAGGAGAGTGGTAGGGTACTTACCTCGCTATGGCAGA